AAGAGGGGAGGGTACCTGGCTGGCTCAGTTGATGGAGTGTATGCACTGTTGATCTTGGGGTCATAAGCTCAAGCCCAACACTGGGCACAGAGCTTATTTAAAAATAAATTTTAAAAAAAGAGAGAAAAAAACCTATAACCAATTTCTAAAAGAAAGAGCTTATATGGTCAATCACTATTGTTGGCAAAGCTTAAAGCAAAGAAATTAGCTTTACTCTTCAAAACGAGGGTATAACTGTAAAGGGAAGAAATGTTTACCCTTTTGTCTGTATTAGATTCTAATCCTCTTAACTGTCTTTGAGGCTCTGTTCTAAGTTGGACTGGCTCCTGAATTATTCTAGTTTCTTCAAAAATTTGGCTCCGACTCTCGAAACAAATGTTTCCAATTTTCTCCCAGCCTTCTGATTTGGAATCACCAAGAACAAAGACTGCCCTTGGATCTCCTTGGGAGGCACTCCAGGTCCTTGTCACCACCCAGATGGCAGCCAGACTTCAGGGACTTAAAGCCCGGAAATGCATCTCACTGCTGAAGAGGGCTCTACCTGACATGGGGTCCTATACAAGCCCTGGAGACTTCCAGATTCAACTGAACAGGACGGGAAGGAGCTGAGAGCAGAGCAGAGTGCTTCCTCCCAAGATGCCACACCAACACTTCATACTTCAAAAGTGAAACTCTTTCTTCCTCCTTTTCTGTCCTTTACTCTGGCACTGGCCTGGAAAGATCACGCCATCATCTGTATCTCCCAGGCCACTGCTAAGGTGGGTAACTTCTGGAATTTACAACAACTTTTTATGTTAGGCTAAGAGGAAACCTAGCTGACCCTTTGGCTTGAACGGGCAAATACAAACAATCCCTGTGAATGAATCCATTCACCACGCCCCCATAGGAGGAAGTGCCTTGTACCCCAAAAGAGTTTGTCTTTATCTGTGGTGGTTATCACTATGAATGCTGCTTTGTCTAACTGTGGGCCTAAGAACTAAGGCCAAATGAACTAAGACAGCTCACCGGTCCACCCTCCAGGACTGACACTGTCCAGTTAGAAAGGAATTACCAGAAGGCATTCACGACTCCAACTCACGTCCTTTGGCAGGACCACACTTCACTGGTTAGGAGTACAGGTCAACGAGAATATGATCAGAAACCTCTCCTAAACTCTTAAAGATGGTGCAAAATCCAGTGCTAAGGACAACAACTGCCCAATAAAGATCCTATAGAAAGTTGTATTCTTAATAACGGAATAGCCCTTGGTTATATTTTAGCCAAAAAAAAGAGATGTCTGAACTATGGCTAAAACCACCGGCTGCATCTGCATTCATGCATTCACACTTCTGGGGAAGTTGAAATGCGGACATATGATCATGGAGCAAGCCACCTGGCTTACTCCTGGCTTACTCCTTCACCGGGGTCTTTCTTTGACTCAGTTGACCTTGATTTTTATTAGTTTGGGACTTGGGGACCCATATGGCTCTGAAATGCACTCCAGACACTGGGAATTACCCTGCTTGTAATAATCACAGTAGTTCCAGCCTCTCAAAAGTTCTCCACTAACCACCACGCAAATGATCTCCTTAATACATGAACATCAGAAAGAAACGAAGAAAAAGACCAACTTAAAAGACCGTAAACCTTGAAATTGTGGCCTATGAATCTCAGGAAGATTAAAACAAGGGCGCCTGGGTGACTCAGTTGGTGAGGTGTCTGCCTTCGGTCAGGTCAGGATACTGGGGTTCTGGGATCGAGCCCTGCATCATCGGCTCCCTGCTCAGTGGTGAGCCTTCTCCCTCTCCTTCTGCCACTCCCCCGCTTGTGCTCTCTGTCAAGTAAATAAATTTTAAAAAATCTAAAAAGCAAAACAAAAAACAACATGACCTATGCATACCACACAAAAAAGCAACAGAATTTCAGATTTTGTTCAGATTTGGAGCTGAGAGTGCCATTACAGCCTTATACTTAAATCACACCTCTCAGTTACGCCGAGAATCTGATCGAAAGGTGGAAATTGTTAACAAGGAGACAGCAGTCCCCAAATGCAGTCACTTATGGTATACCCCACCAAGACTTAATACCTAACTGCACCTTCACCTCTCAGAAAAGTGACCTTCAAGCAGCAACCTGGAACTTCCTGGTCAGCACCGGAAGGTAATCCACTGATGGACCCCTTCCATTACCCTAGAAGAACATCCTGGCCTAAAATGCATCCTTTGCTAATAATTTCCTTTCTTCCTTTCCTGCTAATAATTTCCTTTTTTCCTTTCTCTCTCTGCCTTTTAAAACGTTCCCTTCTCCACTGCTGGAGGGAGCTTCCTTCCATTTGCTAGATGGGATACTGGCCAATTCATGAATTACTGAATAAAGCCAATTTGATCTTTACATTTACCCAGCTGAGTTTTGTTATTTAACACCCCTTCCATCTTCAGGCTCTGGGGATTGTATCATTTCTTTACATAGCACAGATGTCAAATCTTTTGTCAAACCTGTAAAAGATATGTGTCATATCATGTTTTCAAATAGTTCTTTTTAGTTTCCCTTGTTCGGTTTTGATAGTTTTCATTTTCAAATTTATAGTCACTATCCATTGAGCTTTTCCTCTGTAATTATTTTACATAATATCACCCCTTCATAGTTGGAATAACTAATGCTTTTATCCATATTCTTGATTCTTTGGTAGTGGGTGGAGTAAGGTTCTTGTTTTATACTTCAATTTCCATAGGAATTTCAGACTTTAACAATTTTTTTTAAGATTTTATTTATTGACACAGAGAGAGAGAGACAGCACGAGAGGGAACACAAGCAGGGAGAGTGGGGGAGGGAGAAACAGGCTTCCCACTGAGCAGGGAGCCCAATGTGGGGCTCAATCCTAGAGCCCTGGGATCATGACCCAAGCCGAAGGCAGATGCTTAACAACTGAGCCACACAGGTGCTCCTAGACTTTAACAGGTCATAAGGATGGAACTCCCAAGCCATCCACTATGATATCTAAATTGAACTTGATGCTCAGTTTCAAGAAAAAGCTGCCAACTTCTGATACTGATGACCTTAGAAATACCAGGGCAACACTCAATGAGTATTATATCCAAAACAATTCTCTCCTCCTCTGTCTACAGTGTCCTGTGCCTGAGTAACTGTGCTCTTTATATATTAGAATTTTGTTTCCAAATAGTTAATTTCTGGTTCTAGCTCTCTGTTCATGAGTTTCTTTGCAGGACAAATTTTTAAAGACATTGTCTATTTACTATTATTTTTTTCTTTCTACTAAACTGGAGTCCTCAAATCAAGCAGAGATGGGAGTTCTTAGGAGGAAGTTGTCCAGCCCAAACCTGAACTCCAGGTGGCACTAAAGGCTTAGCTGTCCTCTCAACACAGCTTCATGAAGGTTCTGGAGTGGATCACTTAAGAATATTAATATGTTCTCCCTCACTCCACTTAATTACTATATACAAACCACCTTTTTCCTAAAATAATTCCTGCTATTAACTGGTGCTAAAGTATAAAGAAAAAGCATTGCACGAGATCTGCCCCCTGACAACTTAGGACTGGCGTGATTACATAACCTCTTAGGGTCCGTTTCCTCCAATACAAAAGGGGAGTAGAGGAGACAGAATCAGGGGTGGGGGGGCAGTTAATACAAAATGTTATCAGCTAAGATGGTTTCCCAAAATTCACTTTGTCTTTGCCCTACAAGATTCTGGTTGGGGAGGAGGGGCCGTCTGAACTACACGCACCAACGCCAAACCCCCCGTTCTGATACAGAAAGGGGAATGGGAGGAGGGGGGAAGAGAGGCAGGGGACAGGCAGACCTTTCCCCAAACCCTGACCAAGTAGGTAGGGTTTGCTGCATTTGACGGATCCCACAATCGCTGAACAAAGCATCCCCCGGGGAGGAGCTGGGGGCTATCATCGGGGCCATCAGGTCCCAACGGGGCCCTGGGATGCCCGTTTCGGGGGCTCTAGGGGAGTACTTTTCACCATGCCCCCCGGAGAACGGGGAGACCAGGCAGATCAGGAAAACACGAGCGGAGCTGAGTGCCGACACTCCCAGCCGCGCAGGAGACTCACCCCCGGTAAAAACAGCGCGGCCCCTCCCAGGCCAAGAAACCTCGTTCCGTGGCTTCCCAGCGAAGCCAGGCCGCGACTGTCCCTCGCATCACCTCAGCGGGAAAATGTGGCTGCGGGCGCTCGCGACGGGCGTTCGAGTTTCGCTAGCGCCTGGGACCGACGCCCTTCCCGCGCCGCCGGCGGAGTTTTTAACTCCAAGTCGGATGTGCGCTCGGGAGTTTGGTGCCAGCGCGGCGGAGGCTCTTCCCCGCCCAGGGCGGGCCCGGCTGCGGCGCGGCGTCCCCCGGACAGCTGCCTCGGACGGCGGCTCCCGCGCTCCAGCCGCCCGCCGCGCCGCAGCCACGCGCCACGTCCTCTGTCCCTTCGCGGAGCGGACTTCGCCGGCGCAGCGGCCCCGCAGACAGAAGCTGGCGGAGGGCGGGACGTCGCGCACACCCCTTTCCGGGCCGGTCCGCCTCTTACTTAGCTGTGCGTGTGGGGACTAACGGGTCTCCCCATCAGAAGCTAAGACGAAAGTCGCCTGGAGACCTGGGTGCCCGGCAGCCTCGGGGCGCGGGCGAGGGGGCGCGGGGCTGCCCCGCTCCGCGGCCCTCCCGCGTGTTTCCCGTCCCGGTGGCGCTCTGGGGACGCTGCGGTCGGGCCCCTCCGCGGCACCAGCCCCCCAGCCCGCGAGGCTAACCCGCGCGGTGTCTGCGACAGCGGCCAAACCTGCCGAGACCCCCGGCCCGGGGGGGCGCGCCCTACGCCGCACAGCGAACAGAAACTAGTTCCGGAGCCAGCTTTCTCCAGAGCTCTCGGCCGCGGCGCTGCCCAGCCGGGAGGGGGCGGCGCGTCGTCCCGGGGGAAGGGACAGTCGCGCGGCCCCAGCGGAACGGGCGGCGGGAGGGGCGCAGCGGCCCGGGGTCCGCCGAGCAGCCCGGGCGGGATCCGCGGCGCCCACTCACCTCGCGGCGGGGCGGCCTCGGCATCGCGGTCCGGGGAGCCGCCGGGGGCCAGCAGTGCGGCGCTCAGCACCGACGCGGCCAGCAGCAGCGCGGCCAGCACCGGGCCCGCGCCCCGCGCCCCGCTCATGCTGCCCGCCGCCGCCTCGGACGCCGCTCCTCCGCCGCCACCGCCGCCGCCGCCGCGCTCCCGGGCCCTGCGCTTCTCCGCGGCGCACGGCCGCGCGCCCGTCATCGCCTCCCTCCTAGCTGCCGTCACCGCCGCCGCCTGACTCACCCGCGGGGCGGGGCGAAGCGGGAGCCGGGGGCGGGGCGAAGCGGGAGTCGGGGGCGGGGCGCGCGGGCGGCTCCGGGGACCCGGCCCGGCGTCGGGCTGGGCCGCGAGCGCAGTGAGGAGCCTAGAGCCCCTCCCAGCGCGCCGGGCACTTTGTCCCGCGGACACAGGCCGCCTGCAGGCCACGAGCCTCGGCCCTCCAGTCTCTGGCCACTCCCCTGAGCAACTTTCTGCCCCAGCGCCGGGTGCAAACGGGCGTTAGTGTCCTCTGCCCCCGGTTCTGGAAGTGCCTTGGTAAGCAAGACAGGCAGAGCCCCAGCTCGCAGGGAGTTCACCCTCCAGAGGCAAAGATGCGCCTCCAAAGCCACCGTGAGGTGCCCCCACCGTGAAGCTCTGTGTCGGTCTCCGGTGCAGTTAGAGGCGCGCGGGCACGCTAACGCCGCAGGTGCGCTCCTGTGCACCCGCTAAACTCACACGTTTGAGACACGTTTGGTAATGCTTGTAGCAGAGTGCTTGGGAATTTCAGAAACCTGCGAACACTCTAAACGTCTGTCAGTGGAGAAAATGGGTAAACTGCGGTATAATATATACAGCTGTAGAAATGTTCTCGAGTTACGGGTATCAACATGGATGAGGCACAAAAATAAAGCTGAGGGCAAAATGCAAGTTGCACAAATACCTTTGGAATAACTTATATGTAAAGTGTAGAGCCAAGAAAAACAATACTATATATTGTTTAGATATATATGCACATGTAATAAAAGTATAGAGACCTATGGAAAGATAAACACTCAATTCAAGGAATGGTTGGGAGTAGGGAGGGAGCAAAATGTCATTACCCTGGGCTTGGGCTGGCAATGTTTCGTTGCTTAACTACGGTGACAGGCATATGGGTGATCCCTATATTACTTTTTTTTAAAGATTTTGTTTATTTGTCAGAGAGAGATCACAAGCAGGGGAAGCAAGAGGGAGAGGGAGCAAGGAGGCCCATGCGGTGATTCATCCCAGAACCCTGGGATCATGACTTGAGCCAAAGGCAGACGCTTAACTGACTGAGCCACCCAGGTGCCTCCCCATATTATTTTTCATACTTCTCTGTATGTTTGAATTACCTGACAATTTTTTAAAGCGATAGCACAGTATGATGAGTGCTGAGTTGGTAGAAGAACAAGATGCTAAGATAGCATTTGACAGAAGCACGCAAGCTAGTCTGGGAAGACTCCCAGGAAGACTGACATTTAAACCAAGTTTGAGGGATGTTAGCCAGCGCAAAGGAGGAAGTGTTCCTAACAGAAAGAACAGCCCTTGCACAGGCTCCGAAAGCAGGAACCCAGTGTTAACTGAAGCAGAATTCTGCGACAGAGCTAGTCAACAGAATGAGGTTTGTGCAGGTGCCTGGGTGGTTTAGTTGGTTAAGCATCTGCCTTTGGCTCAAGTTGTGATCCCAGGGTCTGGGGATCGAGTCCCACATCAGGCTCTGTGCTCAGTGGGAAACCTGCTTCTCCCTCTGCCCCTGCCCCTTTCCCTTCCCCAGTTGTTCCATCTCTTTCTTTTTTTTTTTTTTTTTTTAAGATTTTATTTATTTATTTGACAGAGAGAGATCACAAGCAGGCAGAGAGGCAGGTAGAGAGAGAGGAGGAAGCAGGCTCCCTGCTGAGCAGAGAGCCCGATGCGGGGCTCGATCCCAGGACCCTGAGATCATGACCTGAGCCGAAGGCAGCGGCTTAACCCACTGAGCCACCCAGGCGCCCTATTTCTGTCTCTCTCTCTCAAAAACAAATAAAATTTTTTAAAAAAGTAATTGAGTTTGGGCTTCTTCCTAAGGACCATAGCAAGCTGTTGATGAGTTGTAAGGTGGAGAATAACTTTCAGGAAAATGATGGTCATGGACTGTCTCACAGAGGTCGTCACATTATTTTTCTCAGAGAAAACAAGCCTCTATGCCTGAATGTCAGAAAAAGTTCAGTTACTCCCTCTTTCTTCTTTGCCCCATGGTTCAGAATCTCAAGACTCAAGGGACAGTGGTGTCTAGGCCATCTGGCAAGTCCACTGCCACCAAGTTGTCTACTGTCCAGCAGCTGCTTCTGGTCTCCACAGAACCAGAATGGGCTACAGGGACCACTGGGTAGATGTATCCCTTTCCCTTCTCTCCTTGAGGACAGCTCTTTCAGCTTTGTCCCCATGGCCAGGAGAGCCTGCAGTTCCTGTCTTAGAGCAGTGCTTGGCTGTCTACCTAGAGTGCCCTTCCACCAGATACCTCCTGGCTCCCTCCCTCACTTCACTCAGGTCTCAGCTCAACTATTAGCTTTTCAAGGAGGCTTTCCCCATCACCCTTATCTAAAGCTAAAATATCCTCTATCCCTGTGCCTCACTGTATCTGCTTTGTTTTCTTCCTTGTATTCATCTCCACCTGACATTATAGTATGTATTTGTTTATCTGTTTCTCTGGCACTAGAGTGTAAGCTCCACGAAGGCAAATAGTTTGTCCTGAGGACAAGAACCTCCTCTGTTAGGCTATGCTGCACTAATGAACAACCCCCAAATCTCTTAGCTTATCTCAACAGTTTACTTCTTGCTCACACTTATGCCCAACGCTTCATTGCAACAGGAGCTTCTACCACTCTTGCAGCAGTGGGGAGATAATGTAGCAAACCCCACACTGGCTCTTAAACTCCTTCTCTAAAGAGATGCCTGTGACTTGAATTCACATTTTAGCATCCAGATCAAGTCACATGGCCGCAGGCAATGAACATATGGTGGGGGGGACACTGAAGGAAATTCAATACCCATTCAACCCTCAGCTAATAGAAGGGAATAGAATAGAAGGGAATTTCTTCAATGTGATAAAGAGCATCTATGAAAACCTTAGCACTAACATGACATTTGGAGGACTGAATGCTTTCCTCCTAGAATCAGGAACAAGGCAAGATTGTCTGTCCTCGCCATTTCTACTAAACATTGTTCTGGAGGTCCTGATCAGTGCAAAAAGGCAAGAAAAAGAAATTAAAAGCTTACACATTGTATTTATTCAGAGATGGTATGATTGAATTTGTAGAAAATCTCAAGGAATCTACCCAAAAAAAGCTACTAGAAATCCAAAGTGAATTTAGCAAGGTCACAGAACTCAAAGTCAATATACAGAACTCTACTTTTATATTCCAGACATAAACAATTGGAACTTGACATTTTTAAATAGCATTTACAAAAGAGTTTTTAAAATGAATATATAGCAGCAAATTTAATAAAACTTAAGATTTGAACATAGAAAACTATAAAACATTGATGAGGAAAGTTAAAGAAGACCTAACTAGTTGGAGAGAAATACCATCTTCATACATTAAAAGAATCATTGCTGTTAAGATGCCAATTCCCTCCAAATCAATCAATCCCAATCAAAATTCCAGCAGGTTATTTTGGTTTTTTTTGGGGGGTTTTTTTTGCACATGTGAAGAAATTGAGAAATGATTCCAAGATGTATATGGAAATGCCAAGGGCCTAGAATAGCCAAAATCATTCTGAAAAAGAAAAAGTTACAAGAATTGCATTATCTGGTTTCAAGATTAATTATAAAGCTATAGTAATCAAGATAGAGTGTTTTGGGGACACCTGTGTGGCTCAGCTGGTTAAGCATCTACCTTCAGCTCAGGTCATGATCCCAGGGTCCTGGGATCAAGCCCCACATTAGGCTCCTTGCTCAACTGGAGGCCTGCTTCTCCCTCTCCCTCTCTGTCATACCCCCTGCTTGTGACAAATAAACAAGTAAAATCTTTTTTTTTTTTTAAAATTTTTTTTTTTTTTTTTAAAAAACAAAAACCACAAGCGGGCAGAGGGGCGGGCAGAGAGAGAGGAGGAAGCAGGCTCCCCGCTGAGCAGAGAGCCCGATGCGGGGCTCGATCCCAGGACCCCGGGACCACGACCCGAGCCGAAGGCAGAGGCCCCAACCCACTGAGCCACCCAGGTGCCCCAACAAATAAAATCTTTAAAAAAAAAAAAAAGATAGTGTGTCTTTGGTGTAAAGATAATACATATCAGTGGAATAGCATAGCAAGCCTAGATATAAACACACACAACTGGGTTTTCACCACATTTCCAAAAGAATTTAATAGGGGAAAGGATATTCTTTTCAACAAATGATGCTACAATTAAATGATTCACTGTGACCCTTACCTCATACCACACACGAAAACAAAACAAAACAAAACAAGAAAACAACAACCCACAAACCAAACAAACAAAAAAATAGATTAAAGACCTAAACATAAAAGCTTAAACTATAAAACTTCTGGAAGAAAATATAGGAGAAAATATTTCTGACCATGGATGAGGCAAAGACTTCTTTTTTCCTTTCTTTTTTTCCCCCTCTGTATAGCATTTATTAAAAGAAGAACCAGTTAGGTATTGGGTGAAAGATTTCTTAAATAGTACATAAACCTTTTTTCTTTTTAAATTATAAATCCCTAAAAAATAAAAAACTAAAGACACTGTTAAGAAAAAGAAAAGAAGGGGCGCCTGGGTGGCTCAGTTGGTTAAGCATCTGCCTTCAGCTCAGGTCATGATCCCAGGGTCCTGTGATTGAGTCCTGCATCTGGCTCCCTGCTCAGCAAGGAGTCTGCGTCTCCTTCTCCCTCAGGTCCTCAACCCCTCCCCACTTGTGCACATGCTCTCTCTCTCTCTGTCTCAAATAAATAAAATCTTTTTAAAAAGAAAAGGAAACCCACTGACTGTGTGAGAAAAGATTTGGAAAACATATTTAATAAGAGGCTCTTAATTCCAGAATACGTAATGAACATTTACAATTCAGTAATAAATAAATGATTCTTTAAAAATGCGCAAAGGGGCACCTGGCTGGTTTCATCAATTTAGCGTCTGCCTTCTCAGGTCATGATCTTAGGGTCCAGGGATCCAGTCCCACATCAGGCCTCAGGTCTGGTTCCCTGCTCAGTAGGAGTACCCCTCCCCCA